TGTTTGTGTGTTTGTGTATTTGTTTGGTTGTTTGGTCGTTTGGTCGTTTGATTGTTGGTGTGTTTGTTTGTTGGCTTGTTTGTGTGAAAATAACATGCTACCTCCATACCCCGACTTTGCCACCTATGTGACAATGTGGCTCAAGATCGTGATGCACTTGGTGCCGTCCCTGGAAATAGGCGCTCCATAAAATTGAAATATATCACCGTCGGTCCAAAACTTTTTGGATTTCGGTTTGTGCAAGGTAACGCTCAGCCGTATACTACTTAGCCAGGCATTTGATATTTTGTATATATCGAAAGCTGGTTAAAAAGACCCTAAGGTATCGGGCTCATATATGTCTATACTGTTGCCCTATCTATCTATGGGTGATGTTGTGCACTTGTGATGATTTTGAAGGACACGCAGTAGGGTTTCAGGTTTCGAGCTTCAGGTTTGAGGCTCTTCTCGGCCACTACTTTTCCAACATCGGCTCGCTGCCCTCTACTCTTAGATCTTGCAGCTTGTATCGGAATGCCTAAATCGCCTCTACACCCCAAACTCTAAACCCTAAACCCCGCCTGTGAACAAATAGACGTCCCCCGGGCGTCGAAGCATGCTTCGCACCATGGGTCGCGAGTTAGGGCGTAGGGTGCAGGGTTCAGGTGTTTAGGGTTTAGGGTTCATGGCTTCGGGGTTGAGGGTTTTAGGGTTTAGGGTGTGGGGCCCGCTTTAGGTCTCCAGGGGTTTACAGCTTTTTGTTGGAGGTCTTAGACGTCATGGCAAAGCTTTAACTTCATAAGACGAAGGAGAAAACAATCTTCATAAAACCGTTCGGCAGTCTTCTAGAACCACCGTGCCTGATTCAGCGAAACATGTGGATGCGGCTAAGCAAGCTTGAGAACTTCGAATAAACGTTCAATCACGCAAGATACCACAAAACCCGACTACGCTTTACATCTGTAGTGCAGGACTTTGGACAGAGTGTTCCCTCCAAGTTGTTCAATGCCAACTTCTTCTGACACTGAAGACTCCCAGGATCCAACACTAAGACCTCTGCAACATAGACATGAGACTCTTCTGCTTGCAAGACGGCGAAGACATGTCTGACTAGTGTTGTGCCAAACCCATTTCAAGACAACAAGCAAAGCATACGTTTGCGGGTCTAGTCACTAGTCGTGACACGGAGAAGTGTTTTGACTCCTCCAGCGCAGCTTGTCGATGAGCCCTGACCCTCGCTCTCGAGGCCGTCTGCCCTTGCTGGAAGTGGCAGAGACAAGCAACTCGACCCGCTGAAGAGTCACTGGGAAGAAGAAGGTAACTCGACCGAGCTTCTTTTGTCGAGGCTCGAGGCTATCTTATTCTCACTCTCGGTGTCCCTCTCTCTCTAACTGGCAAGGCTTTGACTGCTCTTAAGGCGCTCTAGACAACCCGGAGCCAACTTGCATCACATCAACTTCAAAAATTTGAGCCATGTTGCACGGTAGGCTCCTCAAAAAATGCATTTGTGAAACGAGGGACACCGCCGCTGTGGGCTCGGTTAAAGACCCCTTGGTTTAGTGTTACTTTTTAAGGGCCAATAAGGGGTGTAAGGTTTAGGGTGTCATTAGAGGGATCAATCAGGGTTGCGATACGGGCTACTACAATGGGTGCCTACAAGGGTCTTATGGAAGATTTACGGCCATCTGTCAAAGACCCCTGATGGGGCTTTGGGAAAACAGCGATCAGATGCTTTTAACCTGGTTGACCCCAAGCCTTGTTCGCACATAAATGCAGCCGGGGATTTGCTGCGGCTCCTTTGCACCTTCGCCAAAGGAGCATGAGCAAGCATTATCATAGCGGCTCGCTGATGTCAGGCATGGGTGTGTGCATATCTAGCCAGCACAAGCAGCCGGCCACCACACCGGAGACCACGGCCTTAATCTAGGGGTCTTCATGAGGTAAGGGGGGCGTTGGGGTACAACTTCTCATCATTGTGTAGGGGCTGTAGCAGCATCATTGTGTAGGGGCTGTAGCGGGACAATACTACTAATTGCTACACCAAACTTGGACACAAGTACTGCTTGTCTCGGCCTCTACCGCTCCCTTGTACCAACACCCCTCAAGCCAGAACCTGACCAAATTCAACACCTGCCCGGGCTACGACTTGAGGTGCTTATTCGGTACTGCTTCCGTTTAGGCATGAGGGTTGTTAGGGCTTTTTGGTTTTAGGAGCTTAGGGTTCAGGGTTCAGAGTTTTAGGCTTTGTTGGCCGACAAAGCTGCGAAGAGGATGCAATGCTCCAGGCTGGAGGCGTAGGCCGCCACTGCAAGATTGTTCGAGTAGTAGAAAAAGGCAGCGATAAACGAAATGATCCTCGGTGAAGTGAAGCTCTGGATGTTGAGAACTTCAGGGTCTAGGGTTAAGGCAGCAGCTCGTAATGGCAATTCTCCTTAAGAGCACCCAAGGATCAGAAATGTCTGCACATGGTCAAAGCGGCCAAAACGACGGGCAGCAAAGCGATCCGTGAGGTAGTTCATGGTCACAGAGAGGCACGTAGCGACGAAAACATCCACCCCCAACAGAATCGCCAATGCAAAGGACAGCAAAGACTCAAAGGGGGCCCCCCCCTTCCACATGGCCACGAAGAACTCCATGCTGGTGGACACCAAAGCCGCCATCAGGAGAAGAAGGTATTTGAAGGGAAAGCGCTTGGCCAGGCTAGGTTCCAAATCCTGCCGCAGGTCCTGCCTTACGAACTCCGTGAAGGCTTCCTCGGGAGTTTGAGCCCTAAACCCGGAACCCTAAACCCCTAAACCCAAAGGCCCCAACCCGGGTTCCCTTCCCCAGCCCCCCTTTCGTCCTCGCCTTGCTCCCGTACCACTTCGAGATCGCAGAATAAATGAACGTTCCTTGGTGCAGAGACCTCTCCGCTCATCCTCTCAGTAGCTGCCCCAATGCAACGCCAATTCAGCCGCCAAGTCTCGGTCGAACTCGTGCATACATGAGACCTGGTTTAGATCGAATCGGCGCAACTCCCGTCGCCTGGGACAGCGATTTTGAGAATCACGGACGGGCTTCAGGCCCTGACCCTGAACCTGCACCCCAAACCCTAAACCACAGACAAACTGAGGAGCAGATGGTGCTTCTCTCGGTAGTTGCTCCGGAGAAGGGCGGTCGCAAACCCGTTCAAGACGTAGAAGGTACCGTAGGCAAAATAGATCGTAAATCGATATTCATTGCCCGACCTCCCAGGTTAAGAGAAACTCTCTAACTCTGCCAGAGCAAGGAATATGCCTCAAAGGAGCATACCGTGTACCACAATGGGCGTCCTATCAAGGAGTATGCCTTGATTAACACATTTTCTGACGAAGGTTCTGAGTTCCATGGCCACATTCAAGCTTTACGTTTTCGGGCTCATGGCTTAGGGCTAGGAGTTTTACGATAGCAGGGCTGAATAGAACGAACAAGGTTGCAGGTTACCTACTCAGCTCCGATGCTTATCGGGCTTTTATTATGAAATGTCTGCGACTTTGTATTTCGATTCAATCAATCACTTCCTCAATGAAAGGATAAGCCTTGATTTCTTCTGAGCTTTTGTTTCGATTTAGAAACTTCCTTAACGCGGGACTATGCCTTCGACTGTCTTGGACTGTTCTTCGATTTAACGAATCAGAAACAATTCCGTACTGAATGCATATGCCTATATGAACTGTTCTTGTCGATAAGGGCAGTTCTCGATATTGGGGTCCCTGTTTCAATCCCACATAGTCCAGCACCCTTGAATGGGGACCCTCATGTAAAGAACTACCCATATTGAGCTTTTCATGGCTTTTCTTTTCGAGTTAAAGAACCAACTCCTTAATGAAGCCTATGCAGGGTCTCCGGGTTGCACACGTTTGGATAGGCCCGGGGCGGCTTAGGGTTGAAGGTTTACTCCAAGTACCTACATGTCTTGAGGGCTGTACCTGATAGTTTACGGGCCCTAAACCCCAAACCCTAAACCCTAAACCCTAAACCCTAAACACTAAACCCTAAACCCCTACTTTTGTTGCTTTCCAGAGCTAAACCCCTAGGGTTAGGGAGGGCTCTGGGCCCTCAGCCCGGAGTTTCGGCGCACCTCCCAAGCACGTAGAGGCCCATGCCCAGGCAAGAGAAGAGGAGCACCAGGAAAACCCTCTCCTTTAGGGTTTAGGGTTTAGGGTTTAGGGTTTAGGGTTTAGGGTTTAGGGTTTAGGGTTTTGGGTTTAGGGTTTAGGGAAAACCCTCTCCTGAGCCCAGGCCTAGTAGTGTTTTTTTTTTTCAAGCTCCTTGTCGAGGCTTTCTATGGATTTATTGGGGCTTTGTAGGACTAGACAGGTTATCGGTACAGGTATATAGCTCTAAATATACAAAGATACATAGACACTTGGATCGACAGGTATACAGATATATAGACAAATAGATTTTATTAATATATATATATATACAGAACGGGCCCGGGCCACCTTGGGAGTGCGCTTTTTGCGCATTTTACGCGCTCCCAAACACACCAAACACAGCTAGGAATCACAACTAACCACATCGAAGGATGGCCAACGAAACAAAATTGCACAACCCTTGCAGATGCCCACAACAAACAGAACAGCCAATGCATTCAGACAAGAACCAAACAGACAAACAAAAAACAAAGAAACCAACGAAACCAAAAACACAAACGAAACCAAAAGAAACAAGACAAACAGAAAAAACAATTCCATGGGACTCCTAGATTTGGCGCTCTGTGGCCGGAGAGTCCCGTAATATTGGTTTTTGTTGGTTTGTTTTGGGTTTGCGTTTGAATTTTAGTTTGTTGGTTGTTTTGCTTTCGTTTGTTGTATTGGTTCTCTTGCCCTGTCCCTAGTCGTAATGCTGGCTTTCCGCGCGCCGCTACCTGCGCCCAGGGAATCTGCGTGATTCGCAAAGTCAAGAAGACTTCACAGAATTGCATGTTTCCGTGTTGTTGGCTACTTTATTACATGCTGCAAAACGGCAACACTATTCTAATCGATTAAACCCTAACCTTAGCTGTTCCTAATACATGCAGATCTATGAAATGCATAAACACATAAATGTGCAAGCATGTGAATGTGTATGCGTATACATATTTTTTAAGACATGCGACGACAGACGTGCCACCATACTTGCAATGGAGCCGTCATGCAGATGCTAGCGTGAGCGAACTTAGTAGGCATACGTGTGCGCAACATATAGTCGTCCGAAGACCCTATCGTTGTGATTCATGTATGTATTCTGTCTCTATATTAAAAATGCACACACACACATATATGTATATATATATATACTCGCGCCTACATACACACATTCAATGTACATATGTGCATATGTATATAATATGCATATACATATATATATATATATATATATAGTCATCTTCACTCCATCATATCTGTTCTTGGCTTCCTGGGTTTTGATTGTCTAGACCATTGGGTGTCGTCCTATACTAAATGGCAATATGCTAATTCATGAACCTACATCACCATGCGGTCGTCCAAAAACGCACCCACTTACATATATATATATATATATGTATATATGTATGTACATATGTGTGTATATTCATTCATGTATACGTATAAATACATATAAATTAACAAGTTTATACATATATATATATATATACATATGTGCGTACATACATACAAACCTATGTATATGTATAGATAGATATACGTTGACAGACCTGTATATATCATATTGATGTGTATATATATATATATATTGACATATATTCATATCTGTGTTTCTTTGTTTAGTTAAAGTGTGTGTCTGCATGTATATATAAACACATATCTATATATATATATGTATATATGTAAATGTGTGCGTGTATCTACATATGTTATATGCGGTGTCGGGTTCTTTATGTTGTGGGATAAACAACTGATCCGTTATAACAATAAGAGATTCGAAAAAAAAACTGTTCTTTTCCGTCGTACATACTGTTGACTCGTAGGACGGTGCAACTTAGACTATATGTTATACGTGTCTATCTGCAGACTTACGTCTTTTGATATAATGAAGGTTCAGCGTAGAGTTGGTGTGTTTGGAACCCTGTGATCTGTCAGGTCGTGTCGCACATAGTGAATGATACTTTATGTAGTTTGAGATCTCTTGGTAATGTGTCTGTGTGAGTGCCATTAAACATATGAACATGCTACATGTATATATGCATGCAAATGGATATATGGAAAAGCATGCATACAAGCACGTGTACATACATACATAATACATACATGCATATATACAGTGGCATACATACATACATATATCCACATGAACGTATATCCATATGAACTATACAAACCGGTTGGATAACAGTAACGTTAAAGATTATAGAAGCCATTTTGTTGGAGAAGCCGTGCGCGCTATGGTCGAGCGCGCATTGGCGCCGTCTCGGAGATTTTCCGGTCGCGCTTTATCCGTTTAGTTATTTCCGTGTAAACTACGTGGGGGCCCAGAATACCTCTACCAGGGTTGCGTATCCACTCTTCGCCATACAACCCTGCGTTGTGGTCTCAAGCCAAGAAGGAAATTACATGCCTATACGTCTTCCTTTCACCCTGATACATCCCCTGAAAGCAGAACAGAAGACGACATGGTGGGAAGGGTCTTCAGGATTGGCGACGAACAGTTGATTCAAGCGCTTAAGCTGTTTTTTGTTTAGTTGCACTGAAGGCTTGCGAAAGTATCCGGCAGTACGCCAAACTGCATGGTTCGTGACATGGGAATAGCAGGAAGCCTTAATACCAACGACTCTTCGCAAAAATCTGATGTACAAAGCATCAATTCTTTTGAGGTGCCTCTCCGTTAGAGTGAAGAAGTCAAGGCCATAGGTCAGTGTTGGGATAAAGACGCTCTGGAAAATGCGAAGTCTAGTGCGGCGTGATAATGAACTATTCCAGACTAACCTTAGCTTTTTAAAGGCAGATTCCGCTAGAGCTGCTCTGTGCTGGAAGGCGCCTTCGAAAGGTTTGTGCCAAGAGATCATAGAACCGAAGTGTGTTATAGAAACCATACCAACAAAAAAAAAAAACGCACTCCCACAGCGACCCGGGCCACAGATATGCAGATATATAGTTATGTAGATATACAGATATCTAGGTATATAGATATATGATATATACATATATCCATATAGATATATAGATATTAGATGAATAGATATATGGATATGTAGGATACATGAACATATGTGTGTATTATATATATATATATGTACATATGTAGCTGTACATATACATGCGATGTAAGGGTTTCAATTTTTAGGGCTTGTGCTTCAGAGGTTTCAAAACTCAAGGTTTCGTAGCGGTTTACATATCAAGGCTTTGGACTAAACAGCTGAAAACTCAAAATTGGATCAAGCATTTAGGCTTACGGGCTTCCTTAAAACCATAAACCCAGCAACCCTTCCCCTAAATTCCTTCCAAGCCCTGATCCCTTAAACTGAAAGAAACTATGTCGAATCATGGGCCAAGATTATCAGTCATCGCATGGCGACATTGCGAATACAACGGAAATCTGTAATCAATTTCCCAACCCCTAGACCCTGAACCCTGAACCCAAAACTCCCCTAAACCCTAAACCCTAGGTTAGCTGCTCTGGAGAATATTCCCAGCAAAGCCTTAGTACCCAAAGATCCAAAACCCCCAACACCCTCAAACCCCATGTCCGAAAAAAACTCAATCTTTAACTGCCAAGCACTCAAACCCTAAATCCCCAAACCCTAAATACCCTTGTTGTTAAGCCTTTTTCCCCCAAAGACAAACGTCTAGATTGTGCAATGATCTTGTCATCAGTAAGGACACTATCAATAATAAGCCAAAGCCCTAAACCCCAAACCATAAAAGCGGCAAAGTTGCGACGAAGAGAGGTCGGAAGCTCATGATGCCAGTAGGATTGACCTCTTGCGCCAACATCTGGGAAGTACTTGTAGGGCCTTTGATACTGCCCGTCGGGTTCTATACGGGTCCTACACGGGCTTTGGGATTTAAGATAGCGACCGCTGAAATCAGAATACGGTGTTTTGAGTACGTAATGCGCGAATTGCTGGAGCCAAGCCGTAGCCCTTAAGAGCCGGTTGTCCCCGGCTCGTCGTTTGCCCTACCCTGCGCCTTTTCTTGTGAGTGACAGGGTGGGCAAAAGACGTTCGTGCAATTTGCCATGTGCACCTCGACTTCCGTACTACTCATACTATACTTTGCTGCAC